CTTTTCACAATAGCTAAGAGATGGAAGCAACCTAAGTGTCCCTCAAATGACGAGTGGATAATGAAAATGTGGTTCATTTAAATGATGGAGTTTTACTCAGCAATAAAGAAAGATGAAATCATGAAATTTGCAGGTAAATAGATGGAACTAGAAACTGTTATACTAAGTGAAGTAACACAGACTCAGAAAAAAAAAGACATATGTTCCCTCTCATATGTGGATCCTAGAACCAATCAAATCCTTATGAGTGTGTATCCAGACATAACTACAGGAACCAGGATAATGAAAAGGAACCAGGGAGGTAAAGGAAAAGAAAGAACCTGAAAGAGAAGAACAGTAGGAAACAGGTGTTAATAAGGGAGATATGGGTTAAAATGGGGTTATTTTAAGGAGAGGGGGGAGGGAGGGTTATACAAGGAACCTTGGGGATAAAGGGAAAGAAGGAGCTCAAGAGAGGGGGTACTATAGGAGAAGGGTATTATTAAGAGAGAAATGGGAAAAATGGGGGCACTTTAAATGGGAAGACCACAGTGGAAGGGTTAGACAATGCAAGAGATAAATAACCCGTAGCTAGTTTTTAAAAACCAGAGGGAGCCATATTAATTGAACAACCTACTGAAAAATTACACATACAACTAGCTCAAGGAATATAATACATGTCTAGGCGAGGTTTATCTGAGAACGTTTGGTCTTTGCCCATGCATTATCTACATAGCACATGGTAATTAAAGTACCAGACTGGTGGAACTAACCTTATTGGATGTCTAACAGCCATACTTTGAGGCCTATACTAATTTGGTCAGAGTGACATAAAGGACAGTTTTTACTCCTTGCCCTCCTAGGTCAACTAATCTCCAGGGGACTATGAGCATCTCCCGAAATGTCCTGTAGCTATAATGCATCACCTGTTCACTTGATCAAGGAGGCCATGAAGACCCCACCAGATGGAGTTGAACCAGTATCCAGTTTACAAAGAGGAGGGTCAACACAGAGGAAACATTTTCTCCATGCTTCCAAGTGAAGCCATTCCCAGTTGAGCAGGACCTTTGACTTATCTTCACACAGATGGAACTGGTAAAAGAAAGGAACCAGGGGCTCCTCCCAAGGCCATGTGACCCCTGAGGAACAGATCCTCAAATGACCTTAAGAGTAAAAATAAATTGGTTTATCTGGGCCAACTGTATGGCCTTAAACATCCAAAAGGAAAGTATAACCAAAGATTGAAGAGGTCAATATAATTCTTTAAGAGTCCATATGTATAGCTAAAAGCTACGTAACAAGAAATAATGCCATACAGGAGATACTTTCTTTTGAGTTGTTGGCCAGGGTGGCCCAAGAGACTCTCAGACAGTAACCCAGCATAGAACTGGAAAAATGAACCACAGACCCCAATCTTATCTAAAGAAATATTGGCAACTGATTGCTGCTAGATCAGGAAGAGCTGATAGTCCTAAAACAAGGATCTCTAGATAGGCTGACTAGATTCAGCAAATGGACAAGCACTGGGGAAGGGCAGGGGGTGCCGACAACACAGTGGACAGTAATAGGGATGACAGAGTATATGGGCTCCAGTGGGAGCAGGGGGGAGGCTAAGGGAGGGTGCTATTTGGGAAGTGGGTATATAGATGAATAAGATTGTTTGGGATGTTCTGTATGAAATACACACAAAAAATCAACAAATAAAAAAGAGTTATATTTGAGGAAGAAGCATAAAAATTTGCTCCATGTTAATTAGTAGAGGTGAAACACATTACCATTGACATCTACACAATGATTATATATCCATGCTCAGGTGAATCTCAGAAAGTACCCGACGGTGACTAGTAATAATCAGATACACAGAGATTAGAGATACATGTGCAAACATCTAAGTGTTAGTAGCATTAAAAATGAGTTTTTCTATGTGAAACAGTATATTTTAAAATGAAATAGAGATCTTTTTTTAAAGGTTAAAACCTCATTCAATTTTACGTCTTATGGGGTTTATACTGAGTTCAGTATGCTATAACTGCATTAATTCAACTGTGAACCTAAAAATTTACAGCCAATTTTGAAAGAGATGCATCTTTGCTCTGGAAATTGTTATTGAATATGTTAATGCTATAATAAAATGCTTCTTCTAATCATGTGGTTATTAAATAATTTTTTAAATAATAATGATAAAAGAAAACAATTTTATTACCATTTTGCAGTGGCAGCGTTTCTTTAAGTACACACCTAACTTTGGAAAAAGTGAGAACTTTTTTTTGAAACACAGAACTGCAGCATCCTGACTGCATGCTTGGGCACCAGCCACAGGCCACCAGCAGGGTTCTAACCATGGTATGAGTCTGTCCTTCACTCTGGCACCAGACACCGTCTAAGATCGGTGGGTGTGGAGGTCTGGAGGACACTGGTTCTTCTTAAGGTTCTCAGAGTCAGAGGCAACTTGAGAATGGTATGCTAGGTGGTGTTAGTTGGTGGGAAACCTACTGGTAAAGACTCCAGGGCTGTTTACAAGCAAGAAACCAGAGACTCCAAAGAAACACAGGAGGAAAGGGGCATGAAGAACTTGGGCATTTGAGCTGGGGTGTGTTATGCTCTGTCTTTGAAAGTTGAAATGACTTTTAACAGAGTCACAGAGTCACTTTAAATATATAAGTAAACTTATCTAATTAATTTTATGAAGTCCAGGTTCTTTTTCCTCTGGTGTCCCAATTTTTTAAATTATTACATTTATTTACTTATTTATTTATTGTTTGTTTGTTTATTATTTGTGAACAGGTATGTGGTACATGTGGAGATCAGAAGACAGTTTGAGGAGTTGATGTTCCAATATGGTTCAAAACAGGAAAAAAATTATTTCTTCCCACATTACTCCATGAATTTTTATGGCACAGTGGAAAGACTGTCAATAAAATTTGAAAGGTGGGGCTGGAGAAATGGCTCCGTGGTTAAGAGCACTGGCTGCTCTCCCAGAGGACCCAGGTTCAGTTCCCAGCCCCTACATGGTAGCTGTCAGCCGTCTGTAACTCCAGTTCCAGGGAATCCAATGCCCTCTTCTAACCTCCACAGGCATTGCACAACACTTACATACATGCAGGCAATACACTCATACACATAATATAAAAATAAGAAATAGGCATTTCTTTGAAACTTTGAAAAGTGTCCAATTTGTCAGACATTTAAGCTAAGCTGTACCTTCATGCTTGGAAACAACCTCAAGGTTTTCCCATATTTTTAACATTTCAAAAACTGCAAAATAGAAAACTGGAGCATGTTGTTTAAGGAAATTTGGGAGAAAATGATCATCATGAGAACACACTGATCCAAACTCTCTGCTCTGTCTCTCCTTTCCCATATATATTATATAATCTGCTGGGGAGATGGTTCAAGCAATTAAAACCACGTACTGTCCTTGCAGAGGACCTGGGTTAGGGTCCCAGCAGTCACATCAAGAGGCTCACAACCACCTGTAATTCCAACTCCAGGGCATCTGACACCGTCTTCTGGTCTGCACGTGCACATACTCCTACAGAGAAACACATTCATACACATAGATAAAAAATACAAATCTTAAACATGACCTAAAGTGACACCTTTATTTTTTTCCAAGTATATAAAGTTGCCGATAAGCTATGGAAACTTTACGAGCTCTGGGTGTGAGGTGTCTGACTTAAACTGGGGCACTGCATTTATCATTCTATTGTCTGAACTATGGGGCTTCAGCTCATGTTCTTCCTTGTTTATTTTTTAATGGAGAATAATCTTAACCTCACTACCTGGCCATAAAAAGTCGGATTTCAAACCAATTTGCTAAATCACCTGGCCTGTTATCATTGATGGAATTCACATTTGTAAGTGCAAACCCCAAAATACTTGCATAAGACAAAGTTATCCTTCAAAAGACATTCAGCTGGAAATGTCCTGCCAGCCTCAGCATGGAGTAAGGGGTGGTGAGACCTCTCCTCCCACCCCCGCCCAGATGTTCACAGACTACCTTTCTCCTTTCTCTCTCTCTGTAGCCAGAGCTACCTGCAAGCTGCCAGTGAGGTGCCTGTTGGTCACAGTCTGGACCCATCAGCCAACTACAACTCCCCGAAGTTCCGGTCCAGGAACCAGAGCTACATGCGGGCTGTGAGCACCCTGAGCCAGGCCAGCTGTGTGAGCCAGGTGGGAACTCTCCTGTGCTTTTTCCTCACACAGAGTGCTGTGTCTAGAGCTGTGCTGGAGTAAAAGGCTGCCACAGGGAGATGATGCCCAGGCATCTCTGGTCAGCATCTCTCTTGCAAAGACCATGCAGTAGCCTCTCCTATCACAGGCTTTCTTCCTTTTCCAACAAAATGACCCCAGTAGCTTCTGTTACATCCTCCAGACTGGACCCAGGTGGCCCAGTGAGTGATGCAGTTTGAGACAGTTGAGAGCACCTGCCTGGCACAGGAAAGACCCTGGTTTCCTAACCCTAACCCAGCACTTAAGACAGAAGAGGTAGGAACACCATGGTGCTGGCCACCATCAGAATCTTACTCTGGGGACAGACCTTATTTCTCACTAGGAATCAAATCCCTAAGCAGGATCCAGGTCACCATGGAATGGCAAGGTTTTGACTCCACACAGGAAAAGCCCTGGTTTCGCAGCTGGGGAAAATAGCACAAGAGCTACGCTAACAACTAGCACACACTGCTGTGCCATGCGCCCTGTGGTGTGCAGCAAATAGCTGCGTGTGTGAACTTTAATTAAACACCTTGCTTACTAGCAGGAACTGCTGTTGACAGAGTCCACATGCCTATAGTTCCAGTATGTAGAAAACTGAAGCAGGAGGCGCAGTCATTCCCACTCACTAGCCTAGGATCACCCATCACACACACAAAAAAAGAATTAACTCAAATACATTAAAAGAAAAGGAAAAAAAAAAACAAAAGTTGCACCCACTGTGAGCTTTACCCATGATTTTCTTGCCAAGGAGTGGAAGAGCCTGGGCTCAGGATCCCTCATATATGAAGGTGGCAGAACAAGGAAGTCAATGGATGCTGGATATTGTTGGGGAGAGAGTCCTCCATACAGTAAGCACTCAGTGACAGTGTTTGTTGCTGCTGTGATAATGGTAAATAGTGTTCATATGTGACCAAGGTACTAAGACACCCTCCTAGCTACAGACAACGCCATGAGCTCTTGCTGACTGGCCAGTGGTTACATGAGTTTTTATTTTACTCCAATTCCTTCTCACCAAGAAGTTGCACTCCAGGAGTCTTCCACTAACTGCTTTGCATGGTTCTTTCCCCTTAATTTGAGAATTCCACCTCTTTAGCCTACATCTCAGTGATGGTTTCCTCTCGGAAATGGAGCTTAGTTTCTATGTGCAAGGGTCTTTTTTAAACTAATATGGAAAGAACCATCCCTGCTCAAAGCTGGGACTGTAGGGATTTAGCTCTCAAAGTCCTGTGTCCTTAGTCCCAGGCAGACTGGAAGGGTACCCTTCATGTACATACCCACCACTCCTACAAATAATAATGCAATACACTCAGATGCTGGACATGTAGGACACTCATGGCTTAATTCACCAGTGAAGCTTCCCGTTTCCTTGTAGAAGAATCAAAGATGGCTTTAGAAGGAACCCACGGGTCAGTGTGCACTTTAACAGCTCCCACCCAGGCTGAGGATTGCTGAGGCAGACGTACTTCTTTTAAAGTTAAACATCTTCCCTTTCATTTAATTTAATTCATTTTTCAAACACAAATTTTAAAAGCAGACCTAAAAGCAGGCATGGTAGCACATGCCTGCAATTCCAGTACTCAGGAGGCTGAGGCAGGAGGGCCATGAGTTCATCCATAAATCTTTAGTCTTTTCTTTATCTAATAAAAAACTCTTTAAATCTCACTCTTCATTTGTCCATGAAATTCATTCTTCAAATTCATGAGAATTCATGGGCCCACTGACTCGAGTTATTCACACCTGAGACCAGAAAGCCTCTTTCACAGTCAAGGATACCCCCAGTTCCTCTCGCAGTTCTGCCAAAGTCCAGTTTGGTGAACAAATGAGCTTATGATGGACAACTCAAAGACTGCAGCATCACCCGAGCACGGGTGCAGGTCACAAAAGCCGTGTCCCTGAAGCCAGGCGTGGTGGCGCAGGCCTTTAATCCCAGCACTAGGGAGGCAGAGGCAGGCAGATCTCTGCGAGTTTGGGGCCACCCTGGTCTACATAGCTAATTCTAGGCCAGCTGGAGCTACAGTGAGACCCTGTCTCAACAAACAAAAACAAAACAAAACAAAACAAAAAATGCTGTATCCCTGGGACTCCCTGTACCACATGCAGGCAGCTTGAGTGGTTGGAGTCTGTTGTCCTCAGAAGTAGGGGAGGGGGCCTTGTGACTCTTGTTGGTTTGGGGAACTTCCTGATTCATTCTTCTTGAGTCTTAAATGCCTCTGTCTTCCCTCCAGGAGGGAATGCTTCTATTTGGAGGTCGTTATTACGCAATAGAGCCACCTAACTTGAAATCAGTGTGCTAAGCACACTCCCTCTGCTTCAAGACCATCACCACCATTAAGCCAGAATGCTTAACAGAGCTCAACAGAATGCTCCTATCACCCCAGACTGAAGCCCTGTCCCCTCTCCAGCCCTTGGGTTCCCCATTCTGCTTTCTCAGTGGCTCATTATTCTAAACTCCTGGTGTACATGTGGCGTTGACCTTCTGGGCCTGGTTTATTCACTGAGCTGGGTGTTGTCTAGATTTGTCCATGTTGTAATGTGTGTCAAAATTTCTTCATTTTTAAACTGAATGACAGTCCACTGTATGCAGTAGATCACACTTTGCTTCTGACTACCCACTGATGGCAAGTAGACTGTCTCCACCTTTGGGCTTCTGTAAGCAAAGCGTCTGTGTATGTGTAAATAACTCACATTCCTGCCTTCAAGTCTGTGGGGTATTGGACCAGAAATGGAGCTGCTGCACCTGTTCCTTTTTTAGATCTCTCTAGAGCAGCTGCACTTTGGCTGTCCCCTTCCCCAGAGCACAGGGTCCCTGCTTCTCCACAGCCTCACCACACCATGCCTTACCTTGGAGATGTCCCCTGTCATGACCACCATGCATTCACCCTCCACTTTATAAATTGCTCTGCAGCAACAAGGGAGCCACCTTTTTAAAAAAATAAATAGTTCATTGAGAAGTTCATACAGTCATATAAGGTGTTCTGATCAAACCCACGCCCACTCCCTCCCCTCTAACTCCTCCCGTATCTCCCCATCACTTTCTGATAACTGCATGTACTCTTTCTTCTTCTTTGATTTATTTATTTTTATGGGGCTTTTGGCTACTATGACATTCCCCCTTTTGAAGGGGTAACCCTAAAATCTTTTAAGGATTAGATAAAAGCTCCCAAATACTTTCAACATTTTTGGCCTGTGGAATGGAGTATGTTGCTAAGAGGCCCAAGGACATTTTGACTTTTAGCCAAGAAACTGGGTACTTTTCTTTGGGGTCTTTTTACCCTAACTACCTACCCAATTCCTACCTCTTATTCTTATCACAACATCCTCTGAAGAGGTTACCCAAATTGCCAATAGGGAATCGGGATACAAACCGCTCTGGCTTCTTCCATGCTGAACAGGGACGCAGGGTGAGGCAATTGGAGTACTCCTTCATTGCGTCTATCTAAAAGACTCCCAAATTGTATAACTCTTATCTCTAAGGGGAAAAGAAGGTCCTTGAATCGTGAATAGGAGATGTGAAGGAGAAGTAAAGGCAAGAGTAATTAGCATTACAAGTTCTAACCAGAGAACTAGGAAAAAATCAGAACAGGGCAATTTTCAAATGTTCATATGAGTCCACTGGAATTTCTTGACAAGGGTAAGCCACCTTTTTTGTCCTGTGACCTGGCCCTTTCCATCTCCCAGATTTCTCTACCCCTCTTCCAGTGGTGCCGGCCTTCTCTAGAGGCAACTCAAGCTGCATCTCTGAGTTATGGTTTTCCAGTAACAGCAATGTGTAAGTTTCAGCTGCACTAGTCATTTCTGCTCCCCACCCCATCTGGATGTCCTTACAAAACATCTCCCATGGATCAGCCATGCCTTTAGTTCCAGCATGAAGTCGTCCACTCGTGCTCCCAAACTTTCTCAGGCTAGGTCAGTAAGTCTGCTCAGATCACCTCCACTTCCTCCTCAGTCAACTCAAGCTCTTCCTAATGACTTTTCAGTCATTTTCAGGCTCCCTCTAGAGCCTTGCTCATAAACCCTGTGACTGGAGCATGGCCAGACTCCTTGCTGAGGTTTTAGTACTGTTTGTAGATGTATACAAGTATCACAGTGGTCTCCTCTCCAGGGAGAGAGGAGCACAGCCAGGGGGATTTGCAGGACAGCTTCTTTGAATGGTACAGTATCAGCTGCACACCACACACCATCACGCATGTTGAATATAAATGCCAAGACAATCTGGGACCTTTTGATTAAATTCCATACAAGTAAAAACTTAGATTGAAAGAAATTTGTAGTCCAAAAAGCATCCTGTTTTCAGACCAGTGTGAGTGTTCTGGGCATTGACTTGCAGGAACCTGAGTTTTTCACGATGGCTTGCTATAGCTTGTCTGTCCTGAGATGTGTGTCTCTAACTGATATGGCACACCCTTCTTGGTCCCCAGTAAGTGGGTTTTCCCATGCTCTGATCTGGACTGTCCTTCTTACAGCTGATTTCAGGAATCACCCCTTCCTGAGCTCCAGCCTGTCCCTCCCTAACATCTCTGCCATCACAGCTGTGCTTCCCTGATTCAGTTTCCCACCAGTGAAAGAATTGTTCTTCTTTCACATAAACAACCTCAAGGTAAAACTGGAGAAACCTCTAGACATACCTGAAATTGGAGGTGGGCAAAGTATTCTGTTCTTGTCAGAAGACAAGCTGATTCCACACCCATCTCCTTCTGTGAGCAGTCAGAGGGAAAGGACTAGCCTGGCTTTTAAAGTGATGTGCTCCCTCAATTAATCTTCCCCATGATGCAAGGGTTAAGAAACTATTGGTCATTGGGACAGTGCTCCAGTAAACCAGAAAAAAAGCAAGAAAGGAAAGAATCATTTCTTAATTCTTAGCTGTTTGTGTTTAAGAGGAGGTGACAGTTCAAGAAAGGGAGGAATGAAGGGGCAGAACACAGGACAGACTCTGATTTGAAGGTGACTCTTGACAGAGAAGAGCCAGAACTTGCTAGTGGTCTTGAAAGCAAAGATGCCACCCGGGTGTAGGTTACAGGGTGGGATCTTGCCCAGTGAGCTGAGGCCTAACCTGGTGAAGTGACATCCCATGGCCTATAGACATTGAGTGAGACGGTGGAAGTGGAAGGTCAGTGCAAAGAGGAATCATCTTGTTCAAAGCCTGAAAGCTAGGGAAAAAGGAAGGCTTGGGGGAAAGCTTTTGGGGGGTGGGCATGACCTGAGTCTGTGGCTAAGTTAAAGAATAAAGGAGGAAGTCTGAGGGGGTTAGAGGAGTAATACCTAGATCTGGATTCTGGACAGCCACACTGAGGAATCTGCTCTAAGCTGGATCACGAGGGACAGGCGTATGCAGTGACACAGCTCTGAGTTCTTCCCTGAGACAGACGGCATTGTGGGCAGCTAGAAGGACATGGCAGAAAAGGAGAGACTCAAAATAGAGAATGGCAGCCTTGTTATTCAGAGGCAGACAAGTGACCAACAGGCACTAAGGATAAGCACCAGAATTCTGGCTGTAGGTCCTCCTAAGCCCATGGTGAGAGGGATAGGACAGGAAAGAAGCTGCCTCTAGAGGCAGGGGAACAGAGAACAAGCACCCATGGGTGCTGCTCCCTCTGTGCCCCTAAGCTCTGACTAACTCTGTTCCAGGGAACCCCATCATGTCCCATGTGTACATATATGTCAACATAGCAAGCAGACTCACCTGAGAAAAAGACCATAGTGTGTGAGAGTTGGGGAGAGAGGTGGTTTGGTTTCTTTTCCTGTTGCTGTGCTAAACTACTCTGACAAAATCAATCCGAGAGGAAAGGGTCATTCTGGCTCATAGTTCCAGGTACAGCCATCACTGCAAGAAAGTCAAGGCAGCAGAAGCTTAACAGCTGTTCGTATTACGTCTCCATCAGGAAAACAGTGCTGCTGCTGCTGCTGCTCAACTCCCTTTCTCCAGTTAGAGAGTCTAAAATCATAGCCAGGGGATGGAGCCACCCATAGTGGGAGGTTCTTCCCACCTCCATTAGCACAGTCAAAGTAATCACGTTTTCCAGGTGACGCTATATTCTACCAAGTTAACAGTTCACACTGACCAGCACAGAGGTCACTCACCAAAGCTGAGTCAGTCAAATGGGGGCACTCCCAAGGTGAGTACTGCATACTCTGCCTCTTGTCCCAGCACTGAGCAAAGCCTCACCAGAGTCCCATTTCAGCTTTTCATACTTAAAATCCCTGCCCACTCTTCAACTTCATTTCAGTCCTGTAGCTCCCTTTATTGAATTTCCAGTTTAAAATCTCTAGATTCTGCCTGGAGACAGTAGATGAGCATCACTGTCAGGACACATCAGGAAAACAGTATCCTCTCGGGCTGTGCACCCTAAGCAAAGGGCCTGTGACTGAGCTGATGGTCCAGTTGGTATCCACTCAGCCTGTGATCCCACTGGGGCTGACAAGTCCCACATAGCGCTTCTTCAAGTGTAGTTGGGAGAATTAGGGTCCCAGTGCAAACCAATACCCACAACTTAAGTCACAGGCTGAAAATGTATTACTTTATCTGCTACAAATTCAAGCCTCAAGCTAAAGGAAAAAGGAGCCTGGGATTTAGGTCAATGAACCATGCTTTGTACGTACATAAACTCCTGCACGGTCAGCCATGTCTTCCCCACCCTGACTAGGCTCATGTTGCTGTAATGGTGAGGGGGGCAGGACTGCCTCTGCCAAATTTGGGATGCGTTTCCATGACAATGAGCAGCAGCTGACTCTCACGTCCTGAAAATGAACTAAAAGTAGCTGATGCACTTGAGCGTGAGTGCTTACTTCCACAGCCTCCAACCCAGAGTCGCCTGAGCAGTAGGTAGGTAGCCGGGGAGGAAGAAGGGATCATTGGGGAAGGAGGAAGGATTGTCAGTGGACCTTGACTTTGTAGCAGGTGCTTCTGGAGGGTTTCACCTGCCTCTCTCCTAATCTTTGTGATGGCTGTCAGCCCGGTGGGTGCACAGAACCTCACTGGTATCTGCAGCTGACTACATTCCTGTTTCGTAAGAACCCATGAGGCTGACCCCGAAGCTTAATGGATTCCCAGCACTGACATTAAACTAACTATGCTGAAATTACAAGGTTCTCACTGAGCACCGTGGGTGTGTTCAGCCCCTGATTCTTGTGTAATGCAGTTGTGATAACCTGCTGGGTCCTGGTGTCACGTGTGCTGTTGATGTTCTAGATGAGCGAGGCAGAAGTCAATGGGCAGTTCGAGTCGGTGTGTGAATCTGTCTTCAGTGAAGTTGAATCTCAGGCCATGGATGCCCTTGACCTTCCTGGATGTTTCCGAACGAGGAGTCACAGTTACCTTCGAGCCATCCAAGCTGGTTATTCTCAAGACGATGAATGTATTCCCGTGATGACGCCCTCCAACATGACCTCAACCATCAGGTCAACAGCAGGTAACAGAGCCCTTTCTTGCCTCTCTCAGAAAAACCTACTGGTGTGCTTAAGGGTTTTTCCTAGAAAGGAACAGCACACACCACCACAGGTAAAAGTTACTCTGCAGTGTTTTCCTGCATCACAAAATGACATTTGTGATAGCATTTTTAAGCATTTCTTTCAGAGTACCATGCCTTTTTTTCTGAGTGAACTCTATAAATTATCAAAGCTCTTTCAAACAATTAAATATAGCTTTGTTGAGGTTTCTACAGCAGACAAGAATTTAACTGCTGACATTTGGACAGTGCTTATGTTTTAAGTGTTAAGAGATTTCAGTGATGTTTGGATGGGTGTGCGGAGACCCTGCAGCGGCTCTGCATTGCAGAGTGCAGCATCAGTCACTGCCACTCAGTAGCAGATCCATGAATGGGGTTTATCACGGCAAAGCCAGGGAGTCGTGTAAATTCCCTCATCGACTGAGACTTACAGAACTCAATGTCATAGTTCCCTTCAGTTCTTACAGAAAACCACATCTAGCCCGTGAAAATTTACCACCTAGGCCAAACACCACTGCCCACTAGTTTATGGCACTATTATTATTTATATAGCACAATGAATATACATGACCCAGAGAAACCCATAAAAGCACAACAAGCAATAAAAGCTTGTCGCACTCCAGGTGAAGGCTGAGAAGAGCCATAAAATACTCCAACGTCAAAGAATAAGGTGTTTTGAATATCCTAAGATTCACATTGCTGTGGATGTATCAAAGGAATTAAAAATGCAATCCCAGGAACTCGCTTTGTCCACAGTAAACAGTGTCAGGAGCCAGAAGACAGGGAGGGATGGGAGCTCAAGAGAAGGGAGTCAGGGTATCCACAGCAGGCCTTGTTCAGGGCTAATGTGCGCCAGGATCCAAGGAGGCCACACCCTACAGAGTAACAAGCCATAGAATTCACGTTGTGGTGTGCACTCTGTACTGTCCTTACACTTTGAGAGGAATACACTTCACACTGGATTCTGTAGAGAAATAAACCGGCTCGAGCTTCCTTTCATCACTCAACTCCATAAGACCTTGGACACCTTAATTTCTCTGACTCTGTCGTTGAGGTCTTTGAAAGAAGTGACTTCTGTAAGCACTGTATTCAGGTAAGCATGATGATGGCTCTTCTAAGAAAGTCGTGGAAACTCAATCTCTTCTTATGTGGCTTGGTGGTCCGAGCACGTTTTTGTTTTTGTTTTTGTTTTTAATACACTGGGTGCTGCATCTTAGACCTTGATGAGACTCAAGTGGACCATGACATTCTGCACACACACAGCTGTGTGGAGAAAGAGGACACAGCCCAGGCCTTTGACCCTTAAGGAGGCAGGGCTGTGCATGTTAAAAGGCAGACGCCTCCATGGGGATGCCCGGTGACTGTTCCAGCCTTTGGTATTCTTCCAGATGTCCTGTATCACATGCCTCTCTGCCTCAGTAATGCCATAGACAACCTCTGTGTTCCACCCACATGTGAACATAGAGCAGCTGAGAGCTGAGAGAAGGAATGAGATTTGTGACCACCATATTAAAAACAGCCTTTGGAGTTGAACCTATATAGTATAGCTCTGTCACCCCCAGTATTCAAGAGGCTAAGACAGGAAGGCTGAGAGTTCGAGGCTAGCCTAAGCTACATAGTGAGTCCCATACAGACTGAGCTACTTGGTAATACTCTGCCTCAAAAAATGAATAAATAAATAAATAATAAACAAATAAGTAGCTCCTTCAGAGAGCATAGCTTGTGTTTGTTGAGTGCCTCCCACAAGCAAATGAACAATTAAGTATTTTCATGGCCTTTGGAGAAGCTTTGAAACAATAATTATCTGGTAGAAAATGGCTTTGCTGTTTTTAGAGCTGTCATTATGGAGAGAATAGGAATAGACCAGATTTCACAGAGATAATATAAGAATCAGTACCAAACTCAGGCTGAAGTTCTGGGTTATGTACACAGTAAATCGTTTGTACCACGTGTACTGCGTATTCCAAAACTCCACACACAAAATAAATTTTTAAATGTTTCTATTCAAAGTTTCCACTGGATCTTGGCCTAGTTACAGAGTCAAAATCTCCTCTAAACTACAGGAGCCATGACAGCATCGTGGAAGAAACTGTGGGTCAAATAACCAAAGGTGTGGGCAGCCAGAGGGACACTGGACTGGGAGGATCGCGGGCACCAGTGCGAGGAAACCAAAGTTCGATCCATCACCAGCCCGGCCACTCTCCTCTGAGCATGGCCTATAGTGCTTAGGGGCTGTCTTCACTAAACAGACGTTGGATGACACGTAACATGGTCCAGTCAATAAGATCACCAGCAATGCCAAGGATTTTTAAGCAAAACTGGCCAAGCCACGGGATGCAAACAGCCAAGTGTTAGGTTAGAGACCTTCCAGTGCCTCTTTCTTGTCCAGAAATCTGGCCACGCCTCCCGCCCACCACTGAGAGCTGATGAGCAAAGCCTGATGCTGTAGTGAAGCTGTGGAAAACCTCAAGACACCCTTGAATTGTACTTTACTCTGAATTAGTGCTTTTGATATGAGAAAATTTTGAGGTGTCCTTAAGAGTGGAGTCTTTCTCAGCTCTTGGGTGGGCTTTGACTCAGGAGTTAGGGCACCAGACACTCAGGTTCACACAAAACTTTCAATGAACCAGTAGCTCTCACACGGATCACAGAAGATGGGTTTTAGAAAGAAGTGTTTTATTACAGGGAACTTAAAGAAGGAAGCCAGTCATAATGGCACACGCCCTTAATCCTAGTGCTTAGGAGGCAGAGGCAGGTGAATCTCTGGGAGATGGTGGCCACCCTGATCTACATAGAGGGTTCTAGGCCAGCTGGAGCTGTCTCAAACAACAAGGTCAAAAGATTAAAAATAATAAAAATTAAAGCAGGGCTAGGCGTGGTGGCGCTGGGCCAGGCGTGGTGGCGCATGCCTTTAATCCCAGCACCTGGGAGGCAGAGGCAGGG